CCGAAAAGTGGTCGATTTCTGCCTCCCTCCGGCGGATATTACTGGCAAGGCTCACTCGCCATGGATCGGCCGGAGGTTGCATTACAATCATGGCCCCCGAGGGAGACGGGCCGTCTCAGTCGGTTGAAACACCCCGGGCCGGCTGGCCGCGAGGCGCCGACCGAGGGGGCCGGGGCTGGCGGGGGGCGGCGGAGGGTGCAGCGCGGGCGGCCGCGACAACAGCCGTGTCCCCCCCCCCTCCCCGCCGCCGTCGCCGCCGCCGCCGTCGCCGCCGCCGCCGCCGCCGCCCGGCACGCGCCCGCCGGTGCCTCTACCCTCCCCCGGCCCCCGGGGGTTGACCGCACCGCGAGTTGGGGCCTTCTCCTATTCCCGCCAAGCAGGGGCGCGAGGAGCAGTGGGGTGCGGCTCCGGCTGTCTCTCAGCGGGGGCATCAAAATACGCCCGCGCACGGGGGGTGGGGGGGGGAGTGCGGCAGAGGGGCCGGGAACGCGCTCTGCGCGCGCGCGCCCTTCCCGCGGCGACACGTTCGCCGGAGGCCCCCTTTTGGAGGCCGGGCCAGGAGGGAACAGGGGGGCGCCCTGGCGTCGGCTCCTCGGGCCTCCCCCCCCCCTCTCGGCCCGCTCCCTTTTGTCTGTTGGGGGGGGGGTTGGGGTGGCTTCTCCCCCTCTCTTCGCTCCTCTGGTGGGGTGTCCCTCGGTTTTTGTGGGGAGGGTTGGACGGGACGGGGTGGGGCCACCTTTGGGTCCTTGCTGCCCGGCCCCCCCCCCCCCCCCCTCCCGCCTGGGACACTGTTTGCGCCCCGCGGCTGGAGGGGTGCTCTCCGCCCGCGACACGGACTGCCTCCCCAGACGGCGGGCCCGCCCGGACGGGGGGAATCGCGGCGGAGGCCTGCACGAGCGGCGGCCGCCCGCACATCGAGGGGCGACGACACACAGGGCAGGCCACCAGCGAGATCATACACCTCCCTTGCTGCCTTGTCGCTGGCCACCACATCCTCGCAAGGGCGCGGGGGCCGAGCTCACCACGTACGCCGGGATGCTCGCTGGCCGCCGCCTGGTCCGAGGGCGGAACGCGCCCGGGGTCGCGGCCCCGTGCGACAGGCAGGGCCGGCGCCGCACACCGCGGGACCCGACGGCTCGAGGAGGATATCCCCCTGCCCAGGGAACACCCGGTGTTCGGGGCCGGAGGGGCGGGGGAGGAGAGGGCGCGACGCAGACTGACGGAAGTCCGGCGGGCCGGCCGAGGAGAGGGGACGTGATGCGGAGCAGGATAGCCGCTATGCGCGCGGTTTGCTGCTGCTGCTGCTGCTGCTGCGCAGCCCAGCTCGGCGTCAGCCGCACCTCCGCCCCCCCCCCGCCCGCCCCCTTACGCCGGGAACGCGGGGGCCAATTAATCCCCCACGCTCTCGCTGGGCAGACGCGCCGCGCTCCGGGCGCGCCGAGAGCCCACCACCCTGCGCCTGCCCGGAGCCGAGACTCCGGTGCCGGGCCCCCGGGCTCGACGGTTGCCCCCTTGGCGGGGCCGGTGAGGGGGGACGCGGGGGCCGGGGCGCCATGGGTGCGGGCGCGCGCCGGCGGCGACCCCCACCCGGAGGCGGCCCTGCCTGGTGGCGCACATCTGCGGCGCCGCCGCCGTCGCCTCCGTTGCTCTCGCCAGGGTCGACGCAGAGGCGCAGCCAGCGACGGCTGCTTACATATGCTTGTCACCGGAAAGAGCAGTGAGCCTTTGTTTGCGGGCGCGGCCGGTTGCCCCTCGACCCCGCCCGCCCCCCGGGGGGGGGGGGCGGGGGGCAGCAAGGGCACGATAGGCTGGGCGGACCGTTGCGCCGGCGCCACACCTGGCGTGGTGCCCGCGGCACCCCCGTCCCCCCCCCCCCAGGACTCGCGGTGGCCGCCAGGGCCATCTGCTGGCGAGGGTGGCCACGCACCATGAGCCGGGTGCGTTTGCGCGAGAGCGCGGAGGCGGGATCGCGCGGCCCGAGTGCGCGCGGGCCTCCGCCCCGCCCGACCCCGGGCCCGCCCTTCGCCCGAGTGTGAAGCCCTGTCAAATGCGGCACATGAACAAACACCGGGCGCCCTTTCCAGCGGGCCACGCCTTGGCCGAGTCCGGGGGCAGCGAGCATTCGCAAACACCTCGGGAATAATATATCTGGCGGATTATTATATTTACATCCCCCCTCGGCGGGGCGGCCTTTCTCTCTCTGGCCGGAGTTCCGGTCCCCCCCCCCCCCCGGACGCCCTTCGCTCCTTGCCTCTGAGCTCTGGCGCCAGGGGCCTCCGCGCCCGTCGAGGGCTAGACCGGCTAAAAAGCCCCGAGGCACACACACACACACACACACACACACCCACCTGGGCACACGTATGCCCGCGTGCCACGAGGAGGTATGCCCGGGAGGCATATTGCCTTTCTGGAGGAGCCGGCCTTCCCTGGCGGCCGCGTTGCGCATCTGTCTGGCCGTCTTCGCCGACTTCTGCCTGCCCCCCGGGCAGAGCGCGAATTAATATGCCTGCCTGGGAGGGGGAGGGCTTTTCCGGGGAAGTTCCGGCGGCTTCCGGCGGAGGCGCGTGTACGCACGCGGCGAAACGCCCGCCCGGGCCCCCATGCGCAGTGGGCGCGGCCGCGTGTGTGCCGGCGGCCACCGCGGACCCGTGTTGGCAACAGCGGCCGGCCGGAAGGGGGGGCCCGGGAGCGATCCGCCGGCCCGGCCCGGCCCGGCCTGCTCCGCCTGCCTGCCCCCGGCCCCGGTCGCGAGCCAGGCCGCGCGGGCGCCCGCCCCCGTCTGTCCCTGGCCGGTGTGACTCATGTCCGAGATGCGGAGGCCGGCGGGCGCATCGCGCGCTCTGCATCCCGCAGCATCCGGGAGGTGGGTCGGCACTTAGCGGCGCGCCGGCGCGGGCCCCGGCTGGCGCGGGCACCTCCCCCCAGAGCACCGGTTCGCCGTCCCCCCCCCCCCTCGCGGCCGTTTCCCGATGCGGGGGGGAGGGCGCAAATGCAACCGCCGGGTCGGGGGGTGTCGGTGCCCGCCGAGGAGCGAACACAATATCCGCCGGGGCCTGGTCGCCGCGGCCGGCCGGGGGCCGGCAGTGGGCAGGCACAGGCCCCCAGGTCCCCAGGACGGGCGCCGGCGCCAGGGCCCGCGCCACCGAGGCCCGGCCAGTGGAGGGGGCCATTTTTCCGCACTCGCGCGCGCGCGCGCGCGCCGACCCACCGGGCAGGGAGCCGAAGGTGTCGTCGGCGTCCGCGTCGTCCTTGCATGCTTCCCCTGCTGGGCCTGCTGTGTGCCTGGCGAGGAGGGGGCAGAGGGGCGCGCGGGGCCTTCCGGCCGTTCCGGGGGTACGGGGCGCCAAAGGGGCAGCCGGCGGGCGGGGGGGGGGGGGGGGACCAAGGCATGACACCCTTGGCTGGTGTGCCAGGACGCAGGGCGCGCATGCCGCCCCTGCCGGCCCTCTTGTGTGCCCGGGGGCGCGTTCGAGCGCGTGCGCACAGCTCCCCTCGCGCCGGCGCCCTCCCCCCCCCCCGGCCAGGTCGAATGCGCCTCCCGGCGCCGAGGGAGCGCGCGCCCTGGCTTCTGCCCGCGCCGGGCGCGGGGGCACGCACGCCCGCGTTCGTGCGGGCGGCAAGAGCCGGCCGGCCGGCCAGCCGGCCGAGGGGGGCTCTATTTTGATTTCGCCTTTGTCGCCCCGGGCCGGCGCCCCGTCCGGGGGCGCCGGCAGCGCGGCCGGCCCCCCGCGCAAGGGCTCCCAGCCGTGCGGTTGGCTGGCGCATTCCTGCCTCCGGCATCCGTGATTGCCGCCCGCCAGAGCACGGGCAAGGGGCCGGCAACGGGGGCGATCTTCCGGCGGCCGGGGGCGGGCTCTCGTCGCCTTGGCGGGGCCAACCGCCCGGGGGAGGGGAGCCCCCTCCAGGGGTGGGGCGTTCGTTCCCGCCCTCGGTCGCCCCCCCCCCCCCCGGGGGGAGGGGGCCGCGCAGTCTGGACCTTTGTGACGTGGTGCGGGGCCGGTCCCTCCCTCGGAAGTGCTAATGAGCTGGTGCGTCCGTGCGTGTGCGGGACTGCGCG